AAAATATTACAGTCCATCACATTTAATAAGGGAGTTTTGTTTCAGGAAACTTTTGTTGAATGGGCATGGGACAAGAACGTGTGGTGTGTGTATGCATATGCTGGGTCTTGATGCAAATTGTTTTTGTAACTGGTTCGTGATCTGATAGTTTGAACACCACTGGTCTAAAGGAAAAACGGTTTGGGGCTGGCTTAGATTATTTTCATCATGATATTACAACTTAATTTTGTATGAACATGAATCTGTGCGTCAGCTCATTGATCGAGTTCCTATAAAGTTCACAAATGTAGCCACTCAAGGTGGCTCATGCCTGTAATCCCAGCACTTTGGGAGGCTGAGGCAGGAGGATCACCTGAAGTCAGGAATTCAAGACCAGCCTGGCCAACATGGTGAAACCCCACCTCTACTAAAAATATAAAAAATTAGCCATGCATGGTGGCACATGTCTGTAATCCCAGCTACTTGGGAGGCTGAGGCAGGAGAATTGCTTGAACCCAAGAGGCAGACGTTGCAGTGAGCTGAGATCGTACCACTGCACTCCAGCCTGGGTGACGAGCAAAAACTCTGTCTCCAAAAAAAAAAAACAAAAAAAAACAGTTCACATATGTAACTACAAAAAAGAGAAAATTCAAATTATCAGCATCATTCTGAGAGGGTGATGTTTGACTGAACCCAAATCAAATCATTGCTTTTCTGTGTAAGCATGGCACAGACTTGACACTTAGGCTCCTTGAGCTCTGCACACTCATCCTGTAGTGTGCCAGTCAGTGTGACATAGTCCTCCCACTGCTTCTGAAGCCGTGTCATCTTTCACTTTGCACACATGTATTGTGAACTAAATGTCCAGAATGAAGTTGTCCTAATTAGCCCACACAGTTATGGAGGTACACTTATAAATACATACACAGGCCCTGAAATGTGCAGGACTTGGTTATGCGGCAGTCACCTGGTGATCTATGGTGTGTGTGTATATATATATATTTATTTAATTTCTCTTTTTCGAGACCGAGTCTCACTCTGTCACCCAGGCTGGAGTGCAGTGACATGATCTTGGCTCACTGCAACCTCCGCCTCCCTGGTTCAAGTTATTCTTCTGTCACCTCCCTGGTTCAAGCGATTCTCCTGTCTCAGCCTCCTGAGTAGCTGGGATTACAGGCGTGCACCACCATACCCGGCTAATTTTTGTATTTTTAGTAGAGATGGGGTTTCACCAAGTTGATCAGGATGGTCTCAAACTCCTGACCTCATGATCTGCCCGCCTCGGCCTCCCAAAGTGGCATGGGCCACCATGCCCGGGTATGTTCATTTTTAAAAAGGTGATTGGGCCGAGTGTGGTGGTTCATGCCTGTAATCTCAGCACTTTGGGATGCCGAAGCAGTGGGATTGCTTGAGCCCAGGAGTTTGAGAAAAGCCCGGGCAACATGGCGAAACCTGTCTCTAGAAAATACACAAAAATTAGCTGGATGTGGTGGTGTGCACCATTGGTCCCAGCTACTTGGGGGGTCAAGGTGGGAGGATCACATGAGCCTAGGAGGCAGAGGTTGCAGTGAACTGAGATCCTGCCACTACACTCCAACCTGGTGACAGAATGAGACACCATCTCAAAAAAAAAAAAAAAAAAAAAAATCATCACAGTGAAAAAACACAGTAATAAAAAGGCCTCTGTGGAGATGCCTGTGAATCCTGGTCCTGAGACCCACTCCAGTTCGAGATACTGGTTGACCTTGCAGCAGCAGACTTCTTAGGGGGAGGCTTGCTCAGCTTAGCCCCACACAAACTAGACTATCATATTGCCCAAGTTTCTTCCCTTTTTGTTCACAAGAATATTATGAAAAGTCAGCCAGATACCTGTTGAAATAAAATACCTTGGTGTATACCATGCTCTTGATGTGTCCATCCAAAACCCTATGTTTTAAGAAACAGATTTGTTCAGCATGACTTGTTCTTTTACATTATAATACTTATTCCTTGTGGTCACTTCTTCCTTTCCTCAGTAGTTACAGTACTATTCAATCCTTTGTCCTAGGATTTTGCCAAGGATCAGTGCCTGTAATATCTCTGGATCTGCATATATAATTTTGCCCAGAGCTGCCCTCTGGCTCTGCACACATTTGCAGGTGTGTCTGCAAAGTCTCCCCTCTTCTGGAGTACAGTTTGTGTGGACTTCAGGCCTGGTAACCATTTAAGGCACTGGTGTGCTTTCTTGCCAGCTCATCACCTATCCAGGGCCTCAGTTTCCACTTCACCTTTTTTTTTTTTTTTTTTTTTTAAATAGAGGTGGAGGTCTTGCTGCATCACTCAAGTAACTGGGACCACAGGCATGTGCCACCATGTCAGGCTAATTTTTAAATTTTTTTGTAGAGTTGGGGTCTCCCTATGTTGCCCAGGCTGGTCTTGAATTCCTGGCCTCAAGCAGTCCTCACACTTCACCTTCTCAAAGCGTTGGAATTACAGGCATGAGTCACTGCGCCCAGTGCCTTCACCTTTTCTTTACTTTTCCCCATTTAAGAATTGTTCTTCCAAACAAGAGAAGCCTGAGGCCAGCCAAAATGTGAATGGTTCTGCTTTCCCAATATCGGTCCTGCTTTCCTTTTTTTTTTGAGACAGAGTCTCACTATGTTGTCCAGGCTGGAGTGCAGTCCTGTTTTCTCAGCTCACTGCAACCTTCACCTCTTAGGTTCAAGTGATTCTATTGCCTCAGCCTCCCAAGTAGCTGGGATTACAGGCACCTGCTACCACGCCTGGCTAATTTTTTGTATTTTTAGTACAGATGGGGTTTTGCCATGTTGCCCAGGGTGGTCTCGAACTCCTGAGCTCAGGCAGTCTGCTCACCTCAGCCTCCCAAAGTGCTAGGATTACAGGCGTAAACCACCACACCTGGCCCGATACCTATCCTCTTTTTGCCAAATTCCTTAGAAGGGCTTAACTCCTGAGCCTTTTCGTTTGAGTTAGGGTCTTGCTATGTAATCCAGGCAGGAATGTTGTGGCTGTTCACAAGTGTGATATAGGGCACTGCAGCCTCAAATTCCTGGCCTCAAATGATCCTTCCATCTTAGCCTTCCAAGCCGAATGCACCCTGAGCCTTTTTTTCTTTTTGAGTCCTCAAAGTAATACCCCTCTTATTTCTGTACTTACTGAAATCTGCTTTCCAAAGGTCCAGGGTTCAAGTCTGATTCTACCTGGTGTTCTTTTCTTTTCTTTTTTCCTTAGTGATTTATAAACTTTAAGATGGCATAGATTCTTTCTTCTAAAATCCTCATGACTCTCATTTTCCTGATCTTGTGTTTTTTTCTTTTTAAAAAATTTTTATTAGGGACAGGGTCTACCTATGTTGCTTAGGCTGGTCTTGAACTCCTGGGCTCAAGCAATCTTCCCACCTCGGCTTCCCAAAGTGCTAGGATTACACGCATGAGCTACTGTATCTGGCCTCTTTTAGATGACTTCAGAGCACAGTAGAGAATCCCTTCATTGCTTCCTCAACCTTATTTTTCTTTATTTTTTTTTAAAGTACAATAGAGCATATTTATCATGGGAAAATGAGAAAATATAGAAAAATAAGGTGCAAATTAAAGTCAAACAAAACTCTACCACTAGGAGATAATGGCTTAAGACTTTTTCCTATTTGGTTATATTCATATATAGAAATATATACACACGGGCCGGGCGCAGTGGCTCGTACCTATAATACTGGCACTTTGGGAGGCCAGGGAGGCAGATCATGAAGTCAAGAAATCAAGACCACCCTGGCCAACATGGTGAAACCCTGTCTTTACTGAAAATACAAAAATTAGTTGGGCATGGTGGTGCATGCCTATAGTTCCAGCCACTTGGAAGGCTGAGGCAGGAGAATCACTTGAAACCTGGAGGCAGAGGTTGCGGTGAATTGAGATCACGCCACTGTACTCCAGCTTGGCAACAGAATGAGACTGTGTCTCAAAAACAGAAAAAGAAATATATACACATTTAAACAAAAATAGAATTTACTCTGTTTTCCTTCTCCTGTTATATCCAGTTAGTCATTAGCTCTACCGAGTCTTGGTTGATGCCTGTGGGCCCATGCCTGTTGTACTATGTAAAAGTGTAAATTCACGTAAAGAATTGACCTATGTGTTTTATATGCTGCCTGGGGCCACCAGCCTTTGTGGTGAAGGCTGAACATAAAACATCCAAGACTTGGGAATGGAGGAGGTGTGTCCTCCTTGTCAGAAATCCTGGCTGAGCCATGCTTCCCTGTCAGTTTTGGCGTCTGTCTACAGCAGGAGTTTGCAGGAGGCTTGAGTTACAGCTAGAGGGTTAGCTGGGGAGTTCCCCCTGCTCATCATAGAGGGGTTCCACGTTAGCTGTGAAGAACCAGCAGTGCCCAGCAGAGAGGGCATAGCTGAGTTACAGAAGAAAATCCTTGTGTAGTCTTGATTATTTTCATGTTATCCCAGACTGTGGTGGCTGGAGGGGGCGGTCCAATGACAGCAGGACCAGCTGTCCTCATAGCCTCAGATGGCTGAGTCTGAGGAGAGGAGAAGGTCATCTTCTGAAATAGATATAAGGCTGTCAACCTAGGGTGGGGAAGTCTGGGGAAAACCATTAACTTCCCTTAGAGAAGCAGCAACAAATAGAGGCAAAAAGAAATCTGGCTGGGTGTGATGACTCATGCCTGTAATCCCAGCACTTTGGGAGGCCGAGGCGGGTAGATCACAAGGTCAAGAGAATGAGACCATCCTGCCTAACACGGTGAAACTCCATCTCTACTAAAAACACAAACAATTAGCTGGATGTGGTGGCATATACCCATAATCCCAACTACTCGAGAGGCTGAGGCAAGAGAATAGCTTGAACTTGGGAGGCAGAGGTTTCAGTGAACCGAGATCAAGCCACTGCACGCCAGTCTAGGCAACAAGCAAAATTCCATTTCAAAAAAAAAAAAGAAAAGAAAATCTGAAGCAAGTGGGCTTGGGTTCTTTTTGGGCATCTTATACATTACTCCATCTCTTTTCTTCCAACAGATTCACAGACCAGCATGGCTGCCACTGCCGCTGTCAGTCCCAGTGACTACCTGCAGCCTGCTGCCTCCACCACCCAGGCGAGTAGGCAGTGGGCTCTGAGGGCTTGGGGCTGCAGCATCCTGGACAGACTCACCGAAAACACTCTCTCTTCACTGTCTCACTATAAATACCCTAGGTTATACAACTGGGGAAGGTTCAATTAGCCACGTTTTCTTTACTGAGAAACCATGGTCATTTATCTAAGGTGCCACAGTTGGGTCAGGGGGAGAAACAAGGATTAAACTCAATGTTCCTTCCACCAGACCTCACTACATATGAAAGGAAAACAGAGGCTCTCTCATTGTCTCAAAAGTTCAGCCCTCCCCAATCTATAAAGTTATACGTTCTGAGTACTAAAAAGCACTTTACCGAAATGTTTATTCCTCCTTTTGCCCCTCTATTTCTTTCTTCCTCCCTCCTCTCCTCAGTTGAGCAATCAGGGACACCTGAATCCCTGGGGTGGGCTAACGAAAATCCATCTAAGAGCCAAACATGCTTCAGTGTCCTTAGAAACAAGGCCAGTGGGGAGTAGGAAATCAGCTTGCATTGTTAGTCACCCTGTCTTTGGGGTGCTGCCCGGGGTTCCTTCCTGAGAAAGACACTGCCCACCTTTTCTCCCTCCCTTAATGGAGAAACCAGTAGATAAAGGGATCCAGGTGCCAAGCAGGGGAGGGTGCTGGCAACATGCCTGCCACAGAGGTGGGGAGGAGCGGTGTGGAATGCCACTAGGAGGAGAGGATCATGGACAGAGGCGGCTGGGCAGCGTGCATCCTGTCTCACTCCTCCTCTCTGCTGTTTTTTTTTTTTTTTGCAGGACTCCCAGCCATCTCCCTTAGCCCTGCTTGCTGCAACATGTAGCAAAATTGGCCCCCCAGCAGTTGAAGCTGCTGTGACACCTCCTGCTCCCCCGCAACCCACACCGCGGAAACTTGTCCCTATCAAACCTGCCCCTCTCCCTGTCAGCCCCAGCAAGAATAGCTTTGGAATCTTGTCCTCCAAAGGAAATATACTTCAGATTCAGGGGTCACAACTGAGCGCCTCCTATCCTGGAGGGCAGCTGGTGTTCGCTATCCAGAATCCCACCATGATCAACAAAGGGACCCGATCAAATTCCAATATCCAGTACCAGGCGGTCCCTCAGATTCAGGCAAGCAGTTCCCAAACCATCCAAGTGCAGCCCAATCTCACCAACCAGATCCAGATCATCCCTGGCACCAACCAAGCCATCATCACCCCCTCACCGTCCAGTCACAAGCCTGTACCCATCAAGCCAGCCCCCATCCAGAAGTCGAGTACGACCACCCCGGTGCAGAGCGGGGCCAATGTGGTAAAGTTGACAGGTGGGGGCGGCAACGTGACGCTCACTCTGCCCGTCAACAACCTCGTGAACACCAGTGACACTGGGGCGCCCACTCAGCTCCTCACTGAAAGCCCCCCAACCCCGCTGTCTAAGACTAACAAGAAAGCAAGGAAGAAGAGCCTTCCTGCCTCCCAGCCCCCTGTGGCTGTGGCTGAGCAGGTGGAGACGGTGCTGATTGAGACTACCGCTGACAACATCATCCAGGCAGGAAACAACCTGCTCATTGTTCAGAGCCCTGGTGGGGGCCAGCCAGCTGTGGTCCAGCAGGTCCAGGTGGTACCCCCCAAGGCTGAGCAGCAGCAGGTGGTGCAGATCCCCCAGCAGGCTCTTCGGGTGGTACAGGCGGCATCTGCCACCCTCCCCACTGTCCCCCAGAAGCCCTCCCAGAACTTTCAGATCCAGGCAGCTGAGCCGACACCTACTCAGGTACCATACCCCCTGTACTGTCCTCCTCTCCCTCCTCCTCCTCTGATTACCTCTTCTTGGCTTGCTTTGACGATGATGCTGGTCATCTCCCAGCTTGATAAGACCTTTGAGAGTCAGAATGTTTTGGGGTGGGCAGTAAGTGACCATTTCTACCTGACAAATGCACTCTCTTTAGTTCATAGGGCCAAGTACTGCTTATCTTTAGAAATTAGATGAATGAAACATAGGGGTATTTTGGCCCTTTTTCCTTATGGGTTTTTTTTTTTTTTTTTTTTTTTTTTTTTTTTTTTTTTATATTGCCCTGCCCCTTTTACACTCCGCAGGTGTTCCAATGGGGCGCTCCCGCCCCC